CCCTGAGGGTCAGGTGAGGCCTGCACCCAACAGGGAATGGATTTTCCCTCTCTGGGTGGCTGTGCTCTGGGTTGCCTTGGGCTTTGGGAAGGGATATGCTGGTTGGAAGGTGAGCATCCTTAGGTCCAGCTTTCTTCTCTCCTACACACAGGAGATGAAGTATTGTTGAGGCCAGCTCTCCTCTCCCTTCCATATCTTGGGAGATGAGTATACATGTGTCCAGCACTCCTTTTCCCTTCATTCAGGGGGAAGATGAGCATTCTTGGATCCAGTACTTCTTTTCACTTTATCCTGAGGAAAGATGAGCACTCTCAGGGTCATCTCTCACTCCCATCTCTTGGCAGGATGCAGGCGAGCTGCCGCTGCACATGGCCGTACGCCACGCCGACAGATCTTCCCTTCCCTTGGTGGACTTCATCATCCAGAATGGGTGCGTCCCCAAGGGCTCCCAGTGTTCCCTGCCCCTCTCTCTCATGGGAGGAATGTACCCGATGCTTGTATCAAAGCCTTGACTTTCCTGCTGTTGGCCCTGCACAGGGGAACGCTGGACCAGGTGACACAGAATGGGAACACGGCCTTGCACTATGGTGCGCTCTATAACCAGCCCAACTGCCTCAAGCTGCTCCTGAAAGGGAAAGCCACCTTCACCACAGGTATGAGCTTGGGACAGAGGTTTTGGGGTTCTTTGGTGGGAATGGTAAGGCTGCAACTTGGATTTGTCCCCCTTTTGTCCCTTGGGCAGTGAACGCGGCAGGCGAGACGGCTCTGGATGTGGCGAGGAGGCTGAAGTACAGCGAGTGTGAGGAGCTGGTAGGTGGGATGGAGGAATGGGGGAGAAGCTCACAGTGGGGAGAGGGGATCAAGTGCCTGAGGAGGACTGGCATGAAGGTGGGGAGCTTTTGGAACGTGTCCCTCCAGTGCCAAGACCCCTGTGGGCTGCCCCATTCTGAGATCCCCCTGACCTGCCCCATCCCTCTGGCAGCTGGAGCAGGCGCAGGCAGGGAAGCTATCTCTGCAAATCCATGTGGACTATGACTGGGAGCTCCCATCAGAGTTGCCCTATGACAGTGAGGATGAGCTGGAGGAGAAGGTACTGTGGGATGGTGGGGCCTCCACATCGCCAGTAAGGGAGCTGTGGGAGTGCAGACCCTTTTGGGGGGCTGGTGGCAGTGGGACATCCCTGGAGCTGTGTGTGTACCCCCAGGTGAGCCCCCTCCAGCGCTCCTTCAAGGGCACATCACCACTGGCTGCCAGCCCACTGCCTGCCTGCCCCCAGACCCGCTGGAGCTGCATGGGGATGGACATCACCAACAAGACCTACGAGAGCATCCTGGTGCCCTCGCGCACTGCGCCCCGCCGGGCTCACAGCGAGGAGATCCCCCCGCCGCTGCCCCTCAAAAACCCTATGCGAGGCAGCTCTCGCCCCAAACCCAGCCACAGCCCCACCGGTGAGTTGGAGGAGGGGGTCATCATGGTGGGGCTGTGCCTTCCCCCAGAGACCAAGTTTATTGTCCCCATTGTGTGTGTTCCCCCAGAACGCCCTGAACTGCCCCGGCAGGCATCGGAGCCCCACTTCTCTGGGCCGGCAGAGGCAGTGGCACCACACAGCCTGCCCTGTGCCAGCAGCACGGGTGCCCTGGATGGCACCCCCAGCACCCGCAGCCCCACCGAGAGCCAGTGGGCAGCCTACTGGGAAACCCGCTCCGAGACGGACACGAGCAGCAGTCGGCGGGGGCCAGAGCTGAGTCCCCCACCCACACAGCCCCTGCCAGGCAGCACAGTCCCTGACATCCCCCCAGTCAAGTTTGGGTAGGGACCCTGCTCCAGACTGGGGTTGCACTTGGTGTTGGGGGATCATTGTATGGTGCTGGTGGGTGAACTTCAACCTCTGCCACCCCCATGGGCATGGAGAATTGCTGTGAAGCAAAAGGGTCCCCACCCTCCAAAGAAACTGATGGTGACCCTGGGATGCAGGAGGAGACAAGGGCAGCTATGGGGATGCTGGGTTGTCTTTGGAGACAATGATGCAGATTATCTGGGAGGACACCAAGATCCTCTGCCAGTTATCATATGTATTTTTTCTCTTCTTTGGGAAAATGTGGTGGGATGGGCTCATTTGAGGGAGTTTGGGTGCTGGGGACCCTTTTCATCAGCATCCAGGGAGCTGTGGGTGAGATCCATGTTCCATGGGGGAAGCCCTAACCTCCCTGAGACCTGACAGGATGGAGAACAGGGTGGGGTGGGGGAAGGCAACAGCAGAGGGAGGGTGACACTGTTCCCACTGTCACCCACAGCTCAGAGAGCACCCGCTCATACCGGCGCATTGGTGGCACGGTGGGCAAAATGGGGTTGGCTGGGTCCCCCCAGAGCCCTGGTGGCCCTGAGGACCCTGCTCTCAGCAAGGTTCCCCCTGTGCCCATGCCCAGAAGATTTGCTCCGGTAGGTGCAAATTCTCCTCTGCATCCCCAAGCATCCCAGCTCCTCTTATCCTGGGGTGGCAGATGGAGTGATTAGGGGGTCCTATCCCTGTTGCCACCTTTTGGATGACTTTGGGGGGTCTGTCACCCCCTTTTGATCCCATTTCAGGCGAAGGGGAGGCAGAAGCGAGTAAAGGCAGTGGCTGACTGCAAGGGAGACAAGGCACGAGAGCTGACCTTCTCCAAGGGGGAGGTCATCGTGGTGACACGGGAGGAGGACGAGCAGATCTGGGTGAGTCACCATGGCATGGACAGGTGCTGGGATCCAAATCGTGGTCCTTTTCCCCCTCCAGTTCTCTTTTGGAGGCTGGGTTTTTCTGGGGGGCACAGATGGGGGACTTCTGCCCCATGTATGCATGGAGGAGGGCTAGGAGGGCTCCACTGATGTGTCACCACAGCTTTGCCTCTCTAAATCCCTGTTGGAATTGAGCAGGGAAGAAGTTCTGGGGCTGATATCTCAAGATAAGACTTGCAGTCCCCTGAACCCTTTTTCTGCACCTCCAGGTTGGCTTCATCGAGGGTGATGGATCCCGCACTGGAGTCTTCCCTGCCAGCTTCGTCCACCTCTTGCAAGACTGACCGTGTGGGGGTGGCCCATTTGTCACTGTCCCATTGACTGGGAGTAGAGCCAGCTCTCTGCTAGGGGCTTGGTAGAGCCAGGCCAAAGGGACACGTGCCCAGGATCCTGGCATGAGACCACTGCCCTCCAAGGGGCCCAGAGATCCCCTGCGTTGGGAAAACCATCTATGCATGGCAGCAGTGGGGGGCTGAGGAGCAGAGAATGGACATGCTTGCTGCACTGGTGGGCTGAGGTTTCTGTGCCAGCCCCTGCTCCCACTGCTCTTCTGTCATACCTGTGGTCTCTGCCCATCCCTTGGGTTTTCTTCTTCCTTCTCTGCAAGGAATTTGGGCTGGGGGAGCTGTATTTGGTATCCCCTACCCTCTGCCAGATAGTCATGAAGCCTCCTCCTCATCCTGGGGGCAACCATGGATCACCAGCCTCCTTCTGCACCCCAACTGTGAAGCCTTTGGGCTAGGCAAGAAATAGGAGAGGTTTTTGGGTTTTTTTGTGTCCATCCCCCACCCCAGGTTCTGGGAGCTGCCTGGACTGGTGGAGTTCAGGGATGCTCCAAAGCTTCTCCAAAACTGGTAGCAAAATGCCATTCCTTAATTTGGAGGGCAGGGGATGTTTCAGGTGGTACCACAGAGCCCCTGCCCCATGTCCCTCATATGGGGTGGGTGCTGGATCACTGCCCCTTCCCTGGGGGGGGGGGGGGGGTCTCAGAAGGGGTTTTACAACTTTTTCTAGGACCAGCATACCCCTGTAGCAGTGTCCCCTGGGAGCCACCTGCCTCCATACCCCTCACTTTACCCTTCTCATTTCTGTGTCAGATGCTTCATCTCAAAAAAATCTTTTTTAAAATGTTTTCTGTCTGATTTCTAATAAACCATCATTTTTTAAGCACCTGGGAATGTGTTGGGGGGTACAACCCCTGCCCTGCCATCCCCAGCATGGTGATGCTGCTGCTGTGTTCCCAAGGCTCCCAGTCCCTGGCATCTGTGATCACCCTTGGGGGCAGCCATGTAGGGCTAGGCTGGAACATGGATCCAGAGCAGGATGCTCATACTACAGCCCCCCCATGTGAGTGCTGGAGCAGGGACAAGCAAGGATGGCAAGGTTGTTGCCACCTACATATCCCAGTGGCCTGTGTCCCGTATTGCTGCCTGTCCAGCCAGGCCTGAGGGGCTCCTGCTCCTGCCCCAGGCTGGCACACTATCAGCTGGCTCTGCTGGTGCACCATCTCTGCTGTGCTTCAAAGACTGCAGCGTGTCATTTGTCATCGCAGAATCGCGGAATGTTGGAAGAGGCCTTAAAGATCGTTCCGTCCACCCCCTGATGTAGGGGGGACACCTTCCACTAGACCAGGCAGGTTGCTGCAAGCCTGTGCATCCTGACCTTGGACATTTCCAGGGATGGGGTATTCTCAGTACCAAAATACTCCAATATGTGGAGTACTCCAGTATAAGAACTGTTCCTGTATAGTGGAATTCCACATATATTGGAACATTCCAATGCATGGAGTATAAAGATTATTCCCCCAGGGCTCTTGCTGCTGGATCAACTTTGGAAAAAACAGAGCCTGTGGCACACTGTACCCGTGCCCCTGAGGATTCCCTACCTCAGCCGTGCCGATGGCAAAGCCCCATCCCGGGCCCTGTGCCTCCCCGGGCTCCCCACGGCCGTGAGCCGCGCGCCCTGGAGCGCCCCAGCGTGCGCCTCCTCTGTTCCTGCAGCCGTGGTTCTTGGCTATATTTAGCCCTCCCCCGTGCTATTTTGCTTTCCTGGCAGGAGTTTATAACTGGCCGGGACAGCCCCACCTCCTTTCTGCTTTCTCTCCCTTCCCTTCTCTTCCCTTCCCGTCCCTTTCCCCCTTTTCCCCTCCTCTCTGTTCCCTCCCACCCCGCTGCCCAGGACCCCCATGTCAGCAGTGCCCAGCTGTGCCCGCAGCCAGCGTCCTGCTCCACTGGAGCCCCCGCCATGGGGCCCGCTGAGGAGCTGGTCCGGATTGCCAAGAAATTGGATAAGATGGTGGCCAGGAAAAGCACGGTAAGGTGGCTGAGCTCCTCAGGGCGTGTGTGCGTATTTAAACATACGTATTTACACGTGTACATATTTATACGCATGCTTATTTACACACTTGCTTGTTTACATGCATGTTTGAATGTTGTGTGGCTTGGGAAAAGGGCGGGGGGGGGGGGGGGATTTGCTTTTCACAGTCCTCACGTTGTCCCTGGAGGTGCTGAGTGGGTTTAAGGGGTGCTGCCTGTGTCACCCAAGCCAAGCCTCAGGACATCATAGTCAGCACCCAGGGGATTTAATTTTGCCTCTAATTTGGGGCTCTCCTGTACCCCATTGCTCCAAGACACTGGGATTTGGGGGTAAGGGGGTGTTTGTCCCATGGGTGGCAGCTCCTGACACTGCTTGGCAGTGCCGGATTGTGGGCGACAGGTGTTTGGCCCCCAGCCTGTGCACCAACACCTGATCAGTGCCAGGGACAGAGGCTCATGTACAGGCAAGGAAAAGCTCTGGGCTGGTGGATATAACACCCTCGGGCACAGCCCTGCCTGTTTCACAAGTGTGCAAAGGGAGGGGAAGGGGTCAGACACTGTTTCCTGGGTGGTTGTGCTCTGGGGAAGCCAGGATCCAGCCCTGCCGCCCTTGTGCCAAGTGAGGATCCTGGTGAGCCTGTTACATGTGCCAAACCCAGCTCTCAGAGTTAATATTTGACTGTTTCCACTGGCCTTTGCCCTGACAAGGTGCAGGCTACTGGCTGGGGAGGCAGCACTGACGTCTCCATGGATCTGGTGGCTTTTTGGGATGCCAGTGCTTGGTATCAAACCACATCCCATGGCTCTGCTTGAGGCCAGGAATTACCCAGGGGTCAAGGGACAGGGGTGTTCCATACTTCTCTTGCTGCACTTTGGGATGGGACAGAGCCAGGGTCCACCTACAGCACAGGAATGTCCCTGCGCCCATCAAACGGGGGGGATCTGATCCAGCCCCTCATGGTGGGACTCCATGGAAGTGTCCCCGGAGGGGATACCTGGGAGCTGTTGTCTGCTGCTGGGGTTCTAAAAATACCAAGGATGAAGAGGAGGAGAAAGAGAGGGAGGAGGAGGAAGGCTCTGTGCTGGACTATCCTCATCTCAGCTGCCACTGCAGGGTACCAGGATGTGTCCCATGGACCTTCACACCCCTGAGTGGGGGACATTGGGAAATCCCCCAGCTATCCCTAACTCCCACCAGCCCAGATTTTTCTTGCAGATGGGGGTTTTCCCAAGTTTTAAGAAAAGCTCGTGCTGTCCAGCTGGAGATGTGACCTGGGGCTGGGATGATCCAGCAGGGTTTGGGTGTGGGACTTTTCTATTGGTGTGAGAGGTCAGGCAATCCCAGGGAGCAGCCAGGGCTGCTCTTGGTTCTCCTGTCATGCCCTTCCTGCTGCTGCCTGGTGCCTCCTCAAGGGCTTCTGTGGCTTCTCCCTGCTCTAGGAAGGGGCACTGGATCTGCTCAAGTCCCTTACTGGCTACACCATGACCATCCAGCTGCTCCAGGTGAGGGGGTTTGGGTGGGGGGACACCCCATGGGGTAACTTGTCCTGTGCCTTGTGCCAGCCACCACATCCCTAAGGATGTGTCCCTGGTGTGTGTCCCCAGACCACACGGATTGGAGTGGCTGTGAACTCAGTGCGGAAACACTGCTCAGATGAAGAGGTGGTGGCCTCAGCCAAAATCCTCATCAAAAACTGGAAGCGGCTTCTGGGTGAGCGATGCTGGAGGGAGACGAGAACCCCTAAAATCTCAATCCTCCCTGAGCAATCCCTGCACCTCAAGCCCCAATGCTTTCTGGGGGGATGGAGTGGAATCAGTCCAGAGCTAGGACATGCAGGCTCCTATAACCTGTAACTCAGATTTTCCAAAATTGTTTTCACTTGGGATAGAGTGGTGTAAATCAATGTGTGCCCCACCAAGGGCTGAGCATCTCCACAATCATTCCCCACCCCAGGATGCAACTCTGCAGGTGCCCTATGCTGGTTTGGGCTGTGACTATGACACCCAAATCCTTCCCACAGAGTCCACCACAACAAAAAAAGAGAAGGATGCAGATAAGAAGAAGGAGAAGGACACAGATGGAGACAAGGAGAAGAAGAAGGGGCTGGATGTTTCCAGCTGCCCCAGTGAAGGGGTGAAGCACAGCAAGAATACAGCTGAGAAGCACAGGGAGAAGCACAAGGAGAGGTGAGGACTCCTGTTGGGGGACACCGGGGCCAATATGAGACCACCCTCTGCTTGGTCTTTAAGAGTTTATCCATCTCTGCCTACCCATGGATGCTGGCAGCACCTCTGGAGACCAAACTGCCTCTGAGACAGCACCAGGGCCGATTTTGGAGGAGGGAGAAGTGGATATTTTCTATTTTGCCTTCTCTAAAACTAGGTCATTTTGGACAGTGCTCATCTGACCCATGCTCTCTTTATCTCTAGGAAGCCCAGCAAGTGTGACTCTCATGCCACCACCACCCAGGGCCACTCTGCTGATTCCAGCCCAGAGAGGTACCTGCTGAAGGATGCCCTGACCCTCACGCCAGGCTCTGCCAGGCACTGCCAGCCCAGAGGAGGCTTTGCTGGCAGCCTGGGGGGGCTCAGGGATGGGGGATGCAGATGGACAGGATCCAGATCACAGGTTGCCAGAGTATGCTGGGTTTGCTGAGAGCTTCTCTCCCTTCCTTTGGGCGGTGGTGAAGAGAGTCCAGTGATGGCAGGAGCCCTACTGCGTCCTCCAAGAAATCACCTCTGGATGGCAAGAAAGAGAGGTGGGTCCTGGGCTGCATGAGGACGGGAGAGGCAAGACCCTGACCCCTCACTGGCTTGTGCTTGGGATGTGGACCCATCACTTGTCCCAGCTACTGCCCTCTGACATGGGGCTTGTCCTGCCAGGAGAGCCTCTGCTGACTCCAGGTCCTCAACTGTCTCCTCCTCCTCCTCCACACAGAAGAGACTGTCAGGAGAGAGGTAAGGAGGGGGTGTCCCTGGGCAGCCTGGGGATGCTTTTAGGGTCCCCCTTGGGAATACCATGAATATGGAGGGGGTGTGAAGTGGCTGGGAGCCCTGATCCTGCCACAGCACTGGGATATTTCCTGGGAGGAGCAAATGGAGATTCCTGTTGGCTTCTGAGCGAGTGCTCTCATCGATGTGCTGATGCCTGAGGTCCTGCCACCAGTCCCTGCCCCCTGTCCTGCCTGTCCTGTCTCTGGTGTCATCCCCACTGTCCTGTTTCATGCCACTCCCAGGAGGGCCTCTGTGGGCACCAGCCTCTCTCCAGCTCCCACCAGCTCCCAGAGAAACTCCAGTGACAGCAAGGAGGAAAGGTAGGAGAGACCCACTCCACTTCCAAGGGACCCCGGCAGGTCCCTGCGGCTGTGCCAGGACCCTGCCACCTGCCCATGCCCCTCCATGTGCCCCTGCAGAGCCAACAGCAGCAAGGCCAAGCCTGAGGTGCCGCGAACCCCCAGCAGCCCCTCCTTCTCTGCCAGCCCCTGCTTCCTGGCCCCCTGCTACCTCACAGGGGACTCGGTGCGGGACAAGTGCATTGAGATGTTGACGGCTGCACTGCGCATGGATGGTGAGCAGTTCTGGGGGTGCTGGACCCCAGACTGGGCTATTTCTCCTATGGGACAGTCCTAATAGGAGCATTCAGCCCCAAAGGAAAGAAAAGAAGGTTGCTAGGGTCTCTGATAAGGGGGTTGGATGTGAGAATGCATCTTGGTAAGGTTCAAGATGGGTAAAATTAGGTATTTTAGAGATAGAGAGCCTGGGGCAAGTACAGGGGGAGAGGTGAGATTTTCTGGGGGAGGTACAGTGAGACCTATGGCTGGTTTCACACCTGAAAGTCACCCCTTAACCTCTCTATCCTTTAGACGACTACAAGGAGTTCAGTGTTAACTGTGAGAAGATGGCATCGGAGATTGAAGACCATATCCTTTGGGAGCCTAAGGGTCCCCAGGCTTCACCTGCTTGGGGGGGCGTACGTGCTGCTGGGGACAGGACAGAGGGTGACAGGGACAAGGACAGAGGGTGACAGACTCTGCCGTGCTCGTTGCCTGCAGAGGGAGCCCAGACCTCAGTGAGAGGATGCTGAGGCTAAGGCTGAAGCTGATGCTGAGCAAAGCATCTCCTGAGCACCTGCCTTTGTCCAGGGGTCTGTGTGTCCTCCCCAGTCCCCTCTGGTCAGGGACCTGCCTTTGTCTCTGGGGAAATAAATCCAAACCCAGCCAGAGCTTTTCCCATGAGCCTGCTGTAGGTGCCTGTGTCTCCTGCTAGAACCAGTCTGTCACAATGTCCAGGCTGTGCCATGCTGGAAGGGATGGAGCCACCTCTGCCCACCCCCAGCTCAAGGCTTGGGGTTCTCCTGGCAGCCCACTGAGACCAGGACCAGCCCCAGGGTGGTTCAGCTCCTGGGTGCCCTTTTCGGTGCCTCCCAGACTCTGTGCCCAAAGCTGCTACATCAACCCATCCATACCCATGTTCTTTGGGAGGAGGGAGTAGACAGAGTCCTCTGCACCATGAGCTTTTGTCCCAGCACAGGGCTTGGTGATAGTCTCTGAGCTCCATAGCCTTGCCTGGATGTTAGACATTCCAAGGCAGTGGAAAGTCATTTTCCTCCCCACATCTCAAGCTGTGCTTCATCCTCTTAAAGCCAGGGGTGGGGACACTTCCCACAGGGAGGAAAGCCCCACTGAGATCAGCCACCTCCACGTGACCATTGGCCCTGGTGACAGCAGCACCAAGCTGGCATCCCCCATCCCCCTGTGTTGATTCTTTGACGGACCCCACATATCTTCCAGGAGCTGAAGAGCACAGACATGAAGTATCGCAACCGGGTGCGGAGCAGGATCAGCAACCTGAAGGACCCCAAGAACCCTGGGCTGCGGAGGAATGTGCTGTGTGGGGCCATCGAGCCCAGCCTCATCGCCCGCATGACTGCAGAGGTGGGCACTGGGGTGCATGGGGCTGGTGCCCCTGGATCTCTTCCCTGCTGCCTCTGTGGTGCCCGAGTGCTGGGTCTTGGCTTGGTGCTGTCCACAGTGGGGATGTCCCAGCACCTCCCTGTCCCACTCCAGTGCTGAATGAGACACGGGGAGCATTAGGAGAAAGCTGGCAGCACTGCTAGGTCCCCTTAAAGCCCTGCAGACCCCCAGCCTAACACAGATCTGGCTGTGGGATGTCACACTGGCAGGAATCAGGCTGGAGTGTCCCCATTTGTCCTCCTCAACCAGAGTCCACAAATCAGGCTCCTTGGAAGCCCAGTTTCCCCTGTGGGGAGACAGATCCCTTCAGACAGCAGTTTTAGTTTGAAGATGGGATGATTTTTTTCATCAGGATGGGTCTAAGCCCTCCAGCAAGCACAGACAGCAGGATTAATCCTGTTTTGGGAGAGGATGGGGAGGGTGTTGGACTGTGGTACTTGGATGTGAGCAGAGCCATGGCCACACTGACCCATGTGGGCCAATGCTGGTGGCAGGAGATGGCCAGTGATGAGCTGAAGAAGCTGCGGAATGCCATGACCCAGGAGGCCATCCGGGAGCACCAGATGGCCAAGACAGGTGGCACCGTCACTGACCTCTTCCAGTGTGGCAAATGCAAGAAGAAGAACTGCACGTACAACCAGGTCAGGCCTGGTCTGCAGGGGAGCTTGCCTCGGGGGATGCTGTAAGGGTCTCACTGAGGCAGTGCTGCTCCACCCCAGGTACAGACGCGCAGCGCCGACGAGCCCATGACAACGTTCGTGCTGTGCAACGAGTGTGGGAACCGCTGGAAGGTCTGTGAGCATCTGGGGAGAGGCTCTGGGCAACCCAGCCCTTTCCTAGCCTTCAGGGGTAGCAGAGCCCCCTGAAGTGGTGCTTTGGGTGCTGGGTGAGGGCTTACCACCTGCCCTGGGCTCTGCTTCTCCTGCAGTTCTGCTGATGCGGCTGGCGATTGGGCTGGAGGGAACATGGTGCAAGACAAGATGCTGTGACACCACATTGGGCAGCTGGGTTGGGGAGGAGGGATCAGGGTGGCACCAGTCCCTAAACACCAGCTCTTTGTACCCTTGCACTGGGCTCCTTCAAACATCCTGGGGACCTGGCCTCTGGCAATGTCAAGTTCACTCAAGAAGGTCCCTTGAATTCAATGGTTCTTCCCTGCAAATTCCTGCCCTTTGATTGGGGTGTGCTGGGATCCCACTGGGAACAGACTCATTCCTGGTTTGGGGGCAGGAGAGACATTGCCCCATGGACATGGGGCTGTGCCTGGGAGCTGAGGGTGGCAGAGGGCCAGGTCATAACCCAAACACCTTCTTCCTCACCTAAGTGCATACAGAGGGAGGGGAGAGACATGGAGGGGACAGGGTGGGTGCAGCATGTCCAGATGCTGTTGGGATGCCACTGTGCCCCTCTGCTCTGTGACAAATGGACCATCCATCCTGGCTTGAAGGCACCATGTCCCAGGAAAGAAGGAAGGATGGCAGGGAGAGGAGCAAGGAAGAACCCTTCCAGCCAGAGTAATAAAGGTGTGAACTATCTCTGCAGCATTGACTGTTTCCTAAGATGAGTTTGGGATGTCTGTCTCGAGTTTATAGCTCTCCAGCTTGAGCCTCAGGGTCGTGGACGGTGCTGCTCCCATGTCTGCATGAGCCAGAGTGTGAGAGCAGAGAAGGACAGTGAGGCTATTAATTACCCATCATTAATTTTTAAATCTTGGCCTGAGGTGTGAATTTTTTCACAGGCCGTGCCATTTGTACCCAGACTTGGGTGCTAAACCCTCTGTGTTTGGGGGGCCCCCACCACCCTTAAGCCCCCTGAAAGAGCTCTCTGGGCAGTGGTGCTTGTTAATACTCTGAAGTGATTAATGAGCCTCCAAGGCAATTATTTACACTTGTGACAGTGTGTGTGGCTGCAATTAAGGAATATAACGGATTGTAGGGGATGAATAAAACATCGGTGTGACCTTGAGGTGTGAGGGGAGCATAGGAAGGGCGGGACTGGGGCTCCCGGCCATCCCCAGGGTGCCTCAGGGTGTGTTTGCCTCGGACAAGGCTGAAATAGGGGGATTTGGACTTAAATTTTTTTGCAGTCCAGTCTAATAAAGGTGTTTAAGTGATACCAGAGGGAGCCAGACTCCAAGCATGTTATGATGGATCTCCTGGCATCCCTCTGTGTCCTTCACAAGAGCCCTCAGGACCTCTGCTGCAGCTCCAGCCCCACGTGAGGCTGGTCGTGGCCATGCAATGATGGAAAGGCCCTTACAGCTCCTGCCAGGGGTTGATTTACCCACCCCGAGGCTCCAGGTTTGGATGCTCCAAAGCTTCAGCAAAGGCTGGTGTCTCTTCCTGCCTCTCCCACCTATCTCTGCATGAATCACAGAATCATTTTAGTTGGAAAAGACCTCCAAGATAATTGAGCACAACTGCTCTCCCAGCACTGCCAAGCCCACCACTAACTACATGTCCCCAGTGCCACATCAACATATCTTTTAAATCCCTCCAGGCGACTCCAAGGAGATGCTGAATCTTCTATCTGATGGAATTTTTATATTCAACCTCCGACCTGCAACACTTTAAACAACCCCACAGAGTGTCCAACTCCAGCCAGGCTTCCCCATGAGCGGACAGCCACTACTGGTGCTGCCAGACCACATCCCTTCCCCAAAGACAGCCCTCAGCCACCTCAGGGACGCAGAATCTGCCACATGGCCAGTTTTACTTTGCAATCCTGGCTTGCCCAGGGGTCTCCAGCCCCCATAGTCCAGCCCCCCCAGCTGGGGCTTTGCCGCTGCCCTTCTCCCCCGCATTCTTCCAGCCTTGAGAAAACAAGCAGAACTTTGCTGTTCTGTGGTTTCCTTGGCAACCCCATTTCCCCATTCTCTCACTTTATGCATCTGTATCTCCCCCGGCCCCGGTCACCTACCCCCAAAGCACAGTGGCAGGTCCCTGTGCACAGGGATGGAGCAGGAGATGATGTGTCCTGTCCACCTCCAGGACAGCTGATCCCAGAGGGACCCTCTGGAAAATTTCCACTCTGTCTCATCTCAGCCAGGGCTTCCCAAGCACCTGGGCTTATTGGAAAGGAATGGAGTAGCTGGCGGTGGTTCGTGTCTCTGAACTGAACAGAATTAAAGCAGTTTTGGAGTCAGTCTTTATCTCTCTGTGTGGGTCCTCTGTGCACAGGGTACCCAGAGAAGCTGTGGCTGCCCTATCCCTGAAAGTGTCCAAGGCCAGCCTAAATAGGGCTTGGAGCAACCCACTCTAGTGGAAGGTGTCCCCGCCCATGGCAGGGGTGGAATGAGAAGAGCTTTAAGGTCCCTTCCAACCCAAACCATGCCATGATTCCATGACTGGCAGTCTCTGCAACAAACTGAGCAGATTCCCCTGCCCATTCCCATGCTTTCTTCCAATCAATAGGTAATGATCCCTGAGGCACAAGCACTCACTGCCTCCCCAGACCTCAAGCTTTTTGTTTTAATAAACCCCTAAGCACTGGTTTTCCTAAATTCAAGGTGCTGCCTCTGCTAGAAGGGCAGGAGAATGCATGGCTTTGGGTCTGGATTCCGTAGGGGTGCTTGTCAAGGGATGCCGTGGTGTGGTGGTCCCCAAACAGGGGGGAACCAGGGAGTGGTAACTGGCAGGACACTCCCAGCATTGAATGAGACACAAATAGCACTGAAATAGGAGGAAAAAATTGCTGAGCCTCCTTCTGGTTCCAGCCCCAGGTTGGGATGGAAATGGAATTTCCTTTCTCTTTCATTGTTTTGTCTTGATGTGAGTGATTCAATTGCTTTGGAGCAGCTCTGAAAAAATTAGTGATTGCCCAGGACAGCCACATGATCCAGCCTGGATCTTCAGCCAAGCCAAAATACTTGGAGCAAAGCCATGGATTTGAGCTGACTGGGTATTTGCTTAGGGATGTTTTTCTTGGGAGAAAAAAAAAAAAAAAAGAGGAAAATCAGTTTTCATCTGCAGTGTTTGCAGTCCATTGGAAGGAAATGATTCGTCAAGGTGCATGGCTGCAATTCTGCACACCAGGCTTTGTGATGATTAAAAGCATCAAAGGAGCCCAAACTGGACCCAGACCTTTATTTCTAAAGTGAAATGTGTTGCATGGAAAAATTACAGAATATACCTTTCCTAAAGAAAAACCCTGTGCCTTTTCTTTTTCCTGGCCAGAAAGGTTTGCTGAGTCTGCAGAGCACTTTATTCTAAGCCTGCCTAAAATCACAGTGCTTGGCATGGACTTTTTTTTTTTCCCTCCATTAGCTGAATACTCATAGAACTGAGCAAAGATCCCCCATTAAATGCAAAAATCCCTCCACAAAATACATTTTTTCCTCACTTTCAGCTGGAATCATGCACACTCTTCCCTCTTATAGCCAGGATGGAGAAGATGACAGCAAAAAACCCCCAATAAATGCTATAAAACGCCCCCCCCCAATTCCCCCAAACTGCACAAATTCCCATCTCTGTGCTTCCCACATCGACCTAAATATTGCAGAGGAAAAAAACGACATTGGCTTTTTTGCCTGACACTTTTTTCCCTCCCTGCCAGGAGCTCTTGGGCGCTCGGCAATTAGGAGCTGTGGATTAATCTTGAGTGAAATAATGAAGTGCCAGGTGGCTGGAGGACAGAGCTGGTGAACAAGGGGGGAGGGGAAGGGAGGGACAGTTGCTCTACAGATTGACATGGTTTAGGACAGGTTTAGTGCAGGCAGAGCACCCAAAGTGATAGGAAAGAGGAGGAGGAGCCTGGGGGGCTCAATGGGATATTCAGGCTCATCCCTACTCTGTGATCCTCTGCATCAAAATGCATGGACCAGGCAGGGCTTGTGTTGCAGAGGAAAAATCATCTTTGCACATTTTCTAACCCTCATTTGCTTGTAATGTCCCCAAAGTATCTTTCCACCTGCTTTACACCAGCCCCATGTCAATTATTTATTGAGGAAAAATGCCCCAGGAGGGCAGGTTGGCAGCTCTTCCCCCAGCCATATCTGTGCCCCCTTTCATAGTCATAGAACCATGGAGTTCTTGGAGTGTGAGGGGACCTTAAAGCCCATCTAGCCCCCTGCCACTAAAGCAGGTAACTCCAAGCCCTGTCCAGCCTGGCCTTGGACACTTCCAGGGATAGGGCACCCACAGGGGCTCTGTGCACCCTGTGCCAGGGCCTCTCCATCCTGACAGGGAAGAATTCCTTCCCAATACCCCATCTGACCCTGCCCTCTGGCAGTGGGAAGCCATAACCCTTGTCCTGGCACTCCAGACCCTTGTAAATAGTCTCTGTCTGTCTTTCTTGACAGCTCCTTCGGGTGCTGGAAGGCCACAATTAGGTGACCTCAAAAACTCTTTTCCAGGCTGAACAATCCTACCTGTCTCAGCTCTTTGCCTTTTCTCCAAGGTCTCTGGAAGCCTGAAAGTTGAGAGCAGCTGGCACTGAGGGCCACATTCTTCCAACAAAACGCCTTGTCTTTCCAAAATGAGAATATAAATAGTGTATATAATAGATCTTGAAGGTCTCTTCCAACCTAGAAATTCTGTGATTCTGTGATTCTGTGTCCTGTAACAACGTCATTACCCAGGAGCTCTGCCACCAGCACCAGCCACGCGCAGCAAACCCATCACCCACAGCAGCCAATTTATTCCCAACTCTGGCAGGGTCAGCAGCCATCAGGGAAACAAATGCTAATTAATAGCACTGTGCAAAGCAGCCAGTCTAGGCACGGCATGTAATTAGTGAGCCAACTGCACTCGCCACAGTGCTGGGGCTGTAGGGAAAGAGCAGCCACGGAGGAGGGACCCGCTGCAGCTTCCAGCTATAACTCAGGATGAGGGCACTAATTGTGCTGGAACACGTGTGTCACGCTGCCATCAGTGTGGCTGTGACACTCCGTGTGTGTGCTCCCATCCCTCTCATCCCTACACCACCCTCCCTGGTCCAGCCCCCATCCCTGCTGTCTCCTCGATGTGCTCCCTCTGCCCAGACGTTTTGCAGGTAAACGTGACAATTCCTCGGAGCAGGAAAGATGCTTGGAATATAAAAACTCCTGATGGTGGGAGATGCAGAGCCCAGGGAGGAATCGTACTAATGCCCTTACATCTCTGCTGTGGTGAGTCATCCAGGCCCTCAGAGGATCCTGGCTGTGCTTGGATACGGGGAAGGTAGAAGCACAAGGCAAAATGAAAAATTGCTTTGCTCAGAAGATATCTCGGTTACAGTAAGGACTAAAAACTGTCCCCTTGGCACCCACCCTCAGCTCTGGTCCCACAGCCATGGGGAAGAGGGGGTGTTGTGCTGTTGTGTGGGTAAGAAGGGCCCCATTTGTGGGAGAAATGGGAACACTTAGCCTAATGGAATGCAGTTATTAGTGGAAGGGAGGAGGATGGGTCTTTCCATCAGGCTGATGGGAAAAATCCATTCTGGGATTGGGAATTAGGTTGGAACATCACCTTGAAGATGGTTATGGGCAAACACTGCCTCCCTTCATCCCTGGCAACATTGCTGCTCTGATGCTCCCAGTCTCTCTGCCACATCCATATGGATG